ATCAAAAGACACACCAACACACTTCACACCTGCATTCCAAAAGTTAAAAACGGTTGAAGATAAAAACAACAAAGCATCCAGAGTAGAATGTTTAGGGCGAAAACCGAACTGTTTATTTACAAAAAAAAGAGTGTTTAGAGAGATGAGAAAAAATAAAATTATAAATTAGACGTTCAAACACTTTAGAAACAACAGGAAGAAGCGAAATAGGGCGATAGTTAGAAATATCGACAAGAGCGCCTTTCTTATGAATAGGTACAATGAACGCAGTTTTCCATAAAGTTGGAAAATTGCTAGTAGAAAGACACAGATGAAAAATAAAATGGAGGTGAGGTGAGAGAATGTCAGCACAAAAAGAGAGGAAGGAAGAAGGGATTCCATCAATACCAACAGTAGATTTTTTATCCAATTTCTGAAGTAAACGCTCAACATCTCGTATGGAAAAGTCGAGGTGTTTATCCATCCTTGGCAAGTCCGGAATGAATTAATGAATTATTATTCACGAAAAGTAAGAGTCATCAAAGGTCACCGACCTATAAAACAATGACTCGAGCCGAACAACAACAAAAGAATCTATAAATAGAAAAAAAAAAGATAAATAAATAAATAAAAGGTAAAACTAGTGTAGTGTACGAAAACAGATAGTAAAGAAGAATAAAAAAAGAAATAAAATAAAATAAAGTAAATAAAATAAGAGTAACAGCACTAGCTTTGTTTATAACTGTGTGTTTTTAACTGCTATGTTCTACTGAAAAGATGCTGAGATAAAGCTATTTTAAATGACAATATCGAAGAAAAACGAACGACTGATTCTGGAAGATTATTCCAGTCAGTAACAGTTGAATGAAAGAAGGAAGAAGAGACTGTTTGTGGAGAAAACCCGCTCACAGGAGGTGGGATACGAACATACTTAGAATGATGACAGCGTAAGGAAGAATAAGAAGGACAAAGAACATTATAAAGAAGAGACAGTTGTGACACAAGTAAAGAGCTAGAAGAACGGTAGTCAAAATTACGAGAAATAACACGAGAAGCAAGCTTATTTACCGGAGTGGCAGAAGGAGGAATTTGCCCCTGAAGAGAAGAATAACAAGAGGAAAAGTGAGAATTGAAAAGTTCAGCTTTATCCCCATCTGTAGAAACAGATTTGGAGCCTAGAAACAAAGACTGAGGTAAAGTGGAGTGAGACGAGGATAGTTTCTTGATAGAGCTCCAAAACTTGCGAGGATCGGAAAATAAAGAAGAGAGAGATCGAAAGTAAGAAGATTTGAGAAAGAACAAGATTTCTTGCTTTACGGAACTCAGCAAGGTTAAGCGAAGTGTAACGACGTTTAAGTTTACGAAAACGCTGATTACGGATAGAGATAAAATGTGCAAGCTTTGGAGAAGGCGAGAGAAGAGAAGATAGAGTACGAACTGGCACCAGTGGAACGAATCTACGGATGGCATCGTTTACGTGCTCAGTCCAAATGTGGACGGCCATATCAACATCGGTAGCCGTATAAAGGCCATGAGGTATAAGAGAGAGAACACGCCGTAGTTCAGGCCACTGTGCTTTTTTAAAGTCATAACGATAAGAAGTAGAAGGAAAAAGAGATTGAACAGGTACATCAAAAGTAGCAGATAAACAAAAATGAGGAGAACAGCCAACAGGGGGAAAAGAGGAGAAAGAAAGATTGTTCCAAGAAGAAGGATAAAAGATATAGTCAATACACGTATTTGAAGTAGTAGTGACAGAAAAATCAACAAGAGAACACAGAAAAGAACTAGAGAGACTTTGAACATTGTACATTTCGGAAGACACATGGAAGTTAAGATTAAGATCAGCGCACAACAGAAGGTTAGGAGAGACACCAAGATGATTTTGAACGAAACGGAAGACAACATCTCTATCGTTTGTGCCCTCAACGAGAGACAAATTCTTGACAATGATGTTTTTACGTCGCTTCTCACGTTCCAAGTTTTCGTTCCATTCATCGAGGCGGTCAACGAGTTGATCGTGTTTGTTGGTAAGAGTTGTTAAATGATGTTCAACCTTGTCAATTCGATCGGATAACGTTTGCAGGCAACGAGGTGGAACACGATCGACGTTTTTATCGTTCAAACACTTTGGACAAAACCAGTTACAGAACTGTTGTTGTTCAGCTAGTGTTTAATACGCCGTATATGCCATTGGTGAAACGTTAACACATCCAATGTGAAACCAAGTGTCGCATGCATCACATTGTAGAGCGTTATCATTATCGGTGACGATAGCCTGGCAAGAACAGAGAGTCTGTGGTTCAAATAAATATGACTTGAGAGGTACCCAATTACTTGTCCTAAGGCGAAACAAATATTTAAATAGAATAACGAACATTTTCTTATATCAGAAAGAGCATACACGTCTTACATTGTTCACCTTTTTGAATCTCCAGTAATTTCGATAAAGTCTTGCTGATATGAACGTATTTTTCATGATTGGTGGGTGACTTTATGAAAAGTTGCATGTATGATTGAGTCATCTTCACTGATGTTCTCTTACTTGTCTACCATATACACCAATGAAACTCACTGTAAAAACAGAAACTCTTTCCAATAGAGGCAGTGCTAACGGTTATTGAGACTAGCATGGCATTTCTCTAGATAATCAAGCTTCATGTTTGCGGTTTTTCATTGTGCACTTTTTTCCTTATCAAAAGTGCTAGTAGAATTTTGAATTAATTTTACTTCAAAAAAGCAAAACAAGGATGACTGTCGACAGTCAACGTGCTCGAACAATGAGCGGAAAAGAACTACGTATCAAATTATTTGACTTGATGAAAACGAAAGGAATTCTTGACGATGTTAAAGTAAGAAATAAAGCTAATATAATTTGGTTGAGATGTTTTCAATACACTTTTTCTAGAAAATTATAAATCTTCATGCTGCATGATAGGTCCCTTTCTTCCATTAAGTCGTAGTGAGTTTTCAGAAAATCGTTCGGACAGAAACTCCATTACGATATCGTTTTGAAAAAAAAGAAATTAAGGATCACGAAAAAATGTTGCCAGAAATGAGCCTGAAAACATAGTGACGTGAAGTATTTTATTAAATCCAACACAGTTATAAACAAAACCGATACAAATTATGAGTCCAAACTCATTTCGCTATCTAGTAGTGGAGAAATTATTGTTTTGGATCTTAGACTCATGTAGAAATAAAATACGTTCTCAACCCTTGTCTTTGTTAGTAAAAATTTGTTTTCTGTACTAAAAAAAGCGTTTTTTTCTCGATGAAAATGACATATTTGGTGTCAGGGCGTTAAGTTGCATTGAACCATGGATAACACAATAAGTTTTAGATCGGAAAAATATTCATTGAAATTTTTTCTCACGAATAAAATCTGCAAGGAGACCGATTTTTCGAAAAACAAAGTGATTATTTCTCAAAATGTTTTTTTTCCTCTTTAAAAACGTCAGAGATGGCTAAGCAATGATAATTATTCATGAAAAAATGTTTTATGAGCAAAAAATTCTGATGTCCGTCTGCTATTAGAAAAATGCTCTGTATGTGGTGTGAATGTATTTATAACGCTAATATTTGCCATGACTTCTGGCCCTTCCTTTTTCGACCTTGGTAGGCAGTAGGCAAACATGTTTATTCCACTAAATATATGATAAACAAATACAAATATTACCATATTGATTCTACATATGTATGCTAAGCATAATCATTGCATTGATTCTTGCCCCGACCTGACCATGATTAAAAACGTTTTAATCCGATCCATGTAAATCTCTATTAGCCAGATTGTTTATTTTCGAGTACAAATTAATAAAAAGTGTTTCCTTTTTGATGTTGAAATTTTTTATAAGAATTTTCTCACAAAATCTAAGAATAATCGGATGTCTTCGTTTTAGTCTAATTTGCGTAAAAATTTGATCGATGAACTTCGTGGTGTTAATCAATTTCGTCCTACGGATGTATCTAATCCCTCTTTACTAGTTCGAGTTGTGAACACATTAATTGTTGAACATTTGAAAATATGCGATTACGATTATACATTAAGTGTATTTATACCAGAAGCACAATTAAATGACTATAAAGTAAGTAAAATGTTTACTTAGTATTTCTGTTAGATGTGTCTATTTCTTTCTCATTTAGTCAATATCAAATGATGAAATCTTTAAACTATTAAATATATCAAAAGAATCACATTTTTATAAGAAGATTGTAAGTATAGAAAACAATAGTTGATAAATAATTTTATTTTATTATTATTATTTTAGGAGTCTCAGTTGTCTAATACTGAAAATAAGAATAGTTTATTATTAAATTTTATATCGTCGATATCTTTTTATTTACCGGAATCAACACAGTCAACAAGTTGTCAAACTACTTATGATCTATGGACGGGCTCTGTTGCTGGAAATACGTTAGGTGAGTTACATATAAAACAAAATGTGTACATTTGTTGAACCAAATTTGAAGAAGAAAAAAAGATTATTTTTTTCTCTGATTACCACCATCGATAGTATTTCACAAATATTTAAATGGATGAATGCATTTTATAGTATATTACACATATATTTATTAAATTGTTTAATTCTAGATGAAAAATTGTCTACATTAGATTTGATGTATGATTCTCGTCAACAAGATGAATCAAAACATGTGACAACAGAAGAAAAATTATTATTATTTCAAAAACGAATTGAACAAAAATTACAAGATGAATTTAAACAACAGGTGAATCTAATTTATCATTTACAATACAACTTACCTAATAAAAGTATTTCTTTTTTTTTCTAGATTGAACAATTTCGTGTAAACGAAATAAAAAAAATTCATGAAGAAGAACGTCTCAAATGTCAAATGGAATTGCAATCACTCAAAAAAGAAGTATCTAAATCATATAGAAATATTTTCTCTTCTATTTCTAACATTATTTATTTGTAGTTAGAACATGCGTATCAATCGAAGCACGAAACATTATCGGAAAAAGAAACAAGAATTAGTGAAAGATTTAAAACTGAATTAGAGGTATGTATTTATATAGTTTGAACAATTTTAGAGAAAATATTTTCTTTTATTGCTGATCTTTCAATTTAATATTTACTATTTTTTTGTTTGTATTTAGAATGAAAAACGTGATTTATATGGTCAACGTCAAACATTTTTAGATGAATTAAAATCAATGAAATTAAGAGAAACAGACTTTCAAAGAGATTTACAATTAAGAGAACGGCAAGTCACTTGCTACAATATGATACCGTTTTTAATTCTACATCAATTTAAAAAAATAAAAAAAAAATGATGATAAAAATTTCTTGAAGGTAGAAGTAGTCGGATAAATCGATGTTTCTAACTTTTGCTCAATGAGAAATCATCCAATCAAAATGTTAAAAAATTTTCTTAATTCTCTATAAAATATTTCAAATTTATGTAGAAAAGCAAAATATTAAGTGAATTTTAACTATTAATAATATATTTTTTTGTGTTTTTTTATTTTTTAGGGCTATAACGTTAGAAGCCGATCGCATAAAACGTTTAGAAACCGATATGAGTAAACGAGAATTAACTTTGCAAAATACTGAACTCTATATTGATCAACAAGTACAAGCCAAATTAAGCAAGTATGTTTGATATCTTTCGCATTATTCTTTATAAGATTTTCAAATTTTTTATTTAGATTAAGATTTGAAATTGAACAACAATTAATGGAACGAAACAAAAGTTTACAAATATTAGAAATTAGAAATCAAGGTAATTAATAATTATCATTGTTGATTAAAAATAATTTACTACTAGTAGTAGTTGTATGTTAAACAATAATTTTCATTCTTTTGTAGAAGAATCCAAACGTTTAGCTGAAGAAAGATTAATTTGTGAACAATCTAAAATGGAATTGATACAATATAAAAAACAATTATCACAAGTAGATGTAAATAAAAGAGAATATAATTGAATTTTTCTTGAGAAAAATGTCTTGTCTCTTTGTTATATTTTAGTCAATAATTTACAAACTTCAAAGTGAAGTCAAAATTTTAACAAATGAAAATGAAATTTTAAAAGAAAAAACAAAACAAGTATTTATAACTAATTTTAAAGAAAAAAAAAAAGAAAAAAAAAATATTTTCTAAAAAATTTATTTTTGTAATTTTTTAGTCTATGGATTATATGTCAATTCGAGAAGAAAATGCTATATTAAAATCAAAAATGGATGAAAATTTAACAAAGTATGTTTAATATAGAACAGTTTAATATTCCTTTGATTAACAGAAATAATTTTTAATTTTATTTAGTCGTTCTCAAAAATCTCATATACGTACGTTATATTTACTTGTTTAAGTATTGACATATGTTTGAAGAATTATTTCATTTCTGTATATTATATAGATCGATATAATAACGAAAGTGGCAGTGATGATACACCGAGAAAATTAGATTCCGTATGTTATAATGAAACTCTTCATTTGTATTCTTATTTTACTCGTTGCATCTGAAATATTGAAACATACGTACACTATTCATAAATATTTAGTCTTGTGTGTCTATACTTTTTTCAGGTACAACAGTTAGACAGACAATATCATTTAAAAATATGATACTATACGTTTTAATTTCTCTCATAAAATAAAACTATTTTCATTATGAATTATTAGTTTATTGTACAATTGTATTTGATGAGATCCTGTTATTATAATGTATTGCTACTATAGTGTTATTTAAAATGATCTTTTTTCTTTCTAGCATATTCTATCCGATCAATTAAAGAAAGTATTTGATTCTCAGTTAGTTGAACACCGAGTTATGAATGAAGAATTAGTTGATCTTAAAACACAGATTGCACTATTACAAACACAAGAAGGCATGGGAAAAATGAATGAAAAGTTAGTATTTAGAATATTAATTTCTTATTTTTTGACACTTTTAACAGATATTATTATTTTATCATCTGCAATAATTAAGAACACAATTTCAACACTAACTATAATCTATAGTTAAACGTTCTTCGATACATCATACTGTAAAAGATTTTCTTGATAAATATAGAAAGTAATTTTTCGTTTTTCTCACTTTAGTTTATTATTAAAGTCGAAAAATATTGATTATCTGAGCCATGTTTTGGTTCAATCCGAGGATGTTCAAGATTATTACCCATCAACATTATCTTCAAATTATAATCAGTTTATTGACGATGCTAAATTAAGAATGCTTGAATTAGATAAAGAAGCAGATGTAAGTCCAACATGTTTGATTTTATTAATACACAAAACACATGCGCTAATATATTTAGAGAGTTGAAGAATATTTTCGTGATTATCAACATCGTACACTTAATAAAGTAAATTATGTACAACAATCAGATGGTAAGCATAAAATATTGATTGAAAATTTTATATGCTCATAGAGATCGTATGTGGTGAGTCAGCACAATGTATATTGAATGTAAAGTTCACAACAATATGTGTGATTGAAGTATTATGTGTTAAATATAAGAAAAAAGAATTTTTTTTACAAAATATCTGATTTTGTAAAGAGAAGACACTCTGACGAAGTATCCTCGTCAGATGATAAGTCATTTTTTCCTCGTAATACATGTATGTACATTTTATTATATGTAATTTTGGATTATGATAGGTCGTTCTCGGATGAATCTACAGAGGTGGGCAGTCTGGAAAACTATTATGAGGCTTAAACTGATACTGTCAGACTGTAGAAAAATTTTCGAGATCAACGGATCAGTTTTCATAGAATTAAAAAAATTTGTACTAGAATTAAAACTGGAAGAGTTAGGTTTTCTATTAAACTAGAAAGTAAAATATGATTCTTTGTCAAGCCCGTTCTTATGACTTCTCTATGTGGAAGCTACTCTAAAAATAAATAAAATATGCTTTTTTTTATCCATCTAAATATTCCCAAGCGTTTTCTAGTTGTTTGCAAACATAGCGAGCGTATAAGCTGCATAGTAAAGAAGAAAAAAGTTGTAATTCTTTTGCGACTGTTTTCTTTGTAAAATAAGGAAAACTGCAGTGTCACTTGATGCACAAAATGAATATTGGTATTTTTCAAAGAAATATTTGATCCTAGACTGATATTTGTCATAAAGAACGCTTGACATTCGAAATGATGACTATCTATTGTAACCTAAAATGAACATAGTAAAGCTTTTCTTATATATAACAATATATTATTGTCCATTGAGTAAAGTAGGTTAGACTGATCAATTTCGAAAAAAAAAGAAGAAATTATAAATGGATTTAAAATATTGTTAAGATGAAACGGATATTTGAGTTTCAACAGTAGTTTCGAGCGGAGAAAAAGCGTGCATTATTTTTATCATTCAAGTAGGCCTTTACGAGAAGTCGAATCGCGATGATTGATTTCTCTATATTTCCGAACAAAATGAAAAAAGAAGTAGGATTCAGCCTCTTCTTATTTTGAAAAGAGAACTAAGTATTGTCTGCTCGATTTTAAAAACATAAAAGACAGAATGTCAATTTCATAGATGTGGAATCATATTATTAAAAAAACGTCATTTTCAAAGAAACGCCCATTTTTCCGAGACAAAACAAACTCTGAAAGAGATCAGAACCATTAAATTTTATTAACTTTAGTTTTTTAAGTGAATAAAGTTCTTTTGTGTGGTCGATGAAAATAAAATCTGACTTGTTTTTCGCTATCTGTCGGTCTGAACGATAAGAACAAGTTGACATTCAGCCTTCTTCTTTCGTTCATATAGCATCTGGCAACATACGGATGTAACATTTAGATAGAGTTATCTTTTCTTACTCAGGCATAAAAGAGAATCGTTACTCCCCGTACTCCGCACATTTTTAATTTCAAATTGAGATCAAAGAATCTTCAAAGGCGACGGGTGAGTGGATGGATGAAAGTGTGCGGAGTTTGGGCATGAACCAAGAGAATCTATTGATCCTTATTATTTACTTTTCAACTGTTATACCTATTTAGTATCTATCTATCATACTATGCATAATGAGATAGTGCCAATATCGTAACAGAGTATAACTATCGATGCTCCAGTGCCAAATCTTTTCTTTTCTCGGTTTTCTTATCATTATTTTCTTCATAATTTCACTATTTCTCATCCGTTTTTAACTGGAAAAATCTGATATTAACCACGATGGTATAACCGATAATTATGTACGCACTCTTGTAAAAAGTTAATCCATTTCAATACATGGAGATTTTTTAAAACAATTCTGTCTTATTAACGATGAGTGTTAATTAATTAAAAATTATATCATTCTGAAGCTCTGCTCTTCTTCTATCGTTATCTTCATTAAGCTAATTAGACCACAATAAAACGTGTCATTTTTTTTCTTTGGGGCAAAAAGAGTCAATCCGTTCAAATATATGAAGTTGGAGGCTCCAAAGAAGAATCTATACAGACTTCCGAAAATCGATTTTAATACTACTGCGAGTATAAAAGTTGTTAATAATACCGTCATCTTTAATATATGCGAAAACTGGCTCTTAATTCCTAAAATGAAAGACATTTTATGATAAATTAACTAAATCTGTCTTTTTAACCTCCTCTTTGACCTCAGTAATTTCTGAAGCAGATAGTTTGGTTGTTCTGCCACAAAAGGATGCAATCACTGCTGTTACGTAGCAGAGATAGATAGACGGGGAACCATTTCTAATTTTGGACTGAGTTATCTTGAAAGATGATATGCTAGGGCTATTCGTAATACCTTTAGCTTCTTTGCAGATGATAGTAAAATATATAAGTGGTTCGGTGAGAGTTTTTCGTGCTCTTCTAACCATCACATTGGCTTAATTGTATTTAGTGCTGTTTTATATCTGCTGCTGTTATTAGACTGACATCTTATTTTATATTCGTGTTGGTATTTATCAATCTATTGAACTAAACCTGATGTCTGTTTAATGTCATGCGTGAACATTCTTCCCATAATATTTCAATATATCTGTCCGCAAATAGCTTTCTCTTTTCGCTTTTAACTGATTTTAATCTAATTTTTCTTTTGTTCAGTCAATATTTCTCTACTATGAATAATGACACTAACAAGTGCCTTTTACGCTTCTATTTTTATGCATCTAATGTCAATTTTCTTATCGTAAAATATGTTCAGTAGTAATAACGGTCAAATATAGTAATAAAAATAATTGGAAAAAAAAACGCTGTATAATGCCTTTAGGCGTTTTTATTCATTATATAAACACAGAATAACCTAAACAGTTCGAATTCTATTTTACAATGATACAAGTGTGGGAGATTGTAGTAAGTAGGCACATATTTATTGTGTAATATTCATCTCCTAATACGACTATTTCAGTAAAAATTTGAACAACTATATATATATATATATATAGAAATCTGTTTGTTATAACTCTATAGATGACTTCTTAGAAGAGAAACATCTAATATATTTATAGTTTTATAATCTATTTTTATTTATTAGGTAACATCTTGTAGATATATCTTTTCAAGGATTCATTTTTTGAAGTGCACTTTAATTGGTTGATTGAATAAAGAAAATTAATAATAGACCTAAAAATTATGGTAATTTAATACTTAAAAATTACATATTATAAATAATTTTCTTGTTTTAAGCAAGAAAGCTTACTCTTTGAAGATGCAGTCCTACAAAATAAGCGAATTTTATATGATTTCAATATATTTTATATCGGCAAATATCTTTGATTTGTTATGATCAGAAGTAGTGCAGTTGTAAAATCATAAGATCGTACATGGTAAAAAATATGCTCTTATAGAAGGGCAATTTCTTAGCACATTGTATGGTATTTCAGACGTTCTAGAAATATATGAAGTGCGTTTTACGTCTCCAACGATAACATGCAGAGCGACAAGACACCGCAAACGTGTACAGTTTCTATAGAGGATCTGTATAAACTGCATGATATCATGCTGCTCGATTATCAAAGATATTTCTCGTGAGAATAATTAATGTGTCATATGTCAAGCAAGATACATTATATTACAATGTGTTGAAGTATATAGAGCATATTTTTTGGCATATTTTTTCATACCCTTCTAATCATCAAAAAACACTATTTTCTATTTGCGTTATTGATGATTTATAGAGAGATTCTCATGGAATGTTTAGTATTTTCTTGTACTTCATTTTATTATAAAAATTCAATTGTTAATCATTGAAATCTGATTATATACAACGATGGTTACTGCTATGTGTCTCAAAAAGCAAGGCAGTTCGTCATTTTTTGAATGAGATTTGACTGAAAAGGAATAGATTCTTAAAATTTTCGTTGTACGCGGGGTGGGTGGGTGTGTGTGTGTGTGTGGCCGGGACATGATTTTATGAAAAAAGCTAGAAAAAAGCATCATCTACCGGTGGTATACTTAACATTTCTTTAAAAGAGTAAATTGCTACTTCATGAAGAAACAATTCAATTTAAACCACTAAATTATCTTTTAGAGAGCTACGCAACTTAAGATTTTCATCTATCAATATTAGCGCATGGCACAGATTTTTCTGCTTGTAGCAAAAACTTCCTACTTCATTCGAAAACAATCTAAATTATGTCATAGGATTAAAGTATACTCTATTTTATCTGCTTAACCTACTTCTGTACTTTAGGTAAATAAATAGTATTTTCTTCCTTCTAAAGATCTCCAGAAAACTGTTCAATACCCAAGTTATTTTCTACTTTTTTTTGAAATCTTTAATAAACTCCAAGTTAAATCTTTTCTCTCAGTCAAACATTATTCATAAAATGATAGAATGCTCCGTTGAAGTTGGTAGTCGTGATTTTTTGCACATTACGCTATGTCACATATTTATGCATACAGAAATTATCGTGTAAGATAAATGATATACTTGTCAAGTTAATATTCGTAACACTTTTCAGGCATATTAAACCACAGTACCACCTAATGTGATATGTTTTTATCGCGCATGTAACAATCATCTCTTTCGAACACCTATCATTTAGATCAGCAGTTTTTGTTTGTCTTGAAAAGCAAAAATCATTCTTTAAACAACGGAAATATTTGTTTTGAAAAACAACTCTTTCTCGAAATATTTGATATGACATTACCTGGAGGAGAAAAAAATTTTAATAGTCTTATTTTTTCATTTTTACTAATGGACAGTTCTTTTCTCTTACATAGAGGGAAGTTGAACTAAATGATCTGAGCAGTTGTTACTTTTAATTTTTCAACGGATACAATATATTTCTTTGTTAAAATAGTTAACAATATTTCATCCTTTTTACAAGCAGAAAGAGAACTCATGTTACTGTCAAAACAGCGTAAGTTTAGCTGTATTTTTTTATCATTGGAGTTGTATAAGATAAATTAGACTGCTTAGTCAAACTTCCTCAGTAGTTAGAGTATTACTGAGCATTATATTATCTGAAAAAATGTGCTATTAAATATCGACGTCATTATTTGTGCATCAGTTGATGCAAAAGTCAAAAAACAAAGATAAAAGCTCTCGAAGTAGTTCGAATCATCCTATCTGGGATAGTTCAAGTCGATTCATTCATATGCATGAGGTTTTTGAAGATAAATTCCTGATATTATTCAAAAGTAGATTTTTGAAGAATTCTGTAGACAGACGTTATCTGTCAGTGATCTTATTACCAAAAATTGTATCTAAGTAGCTTAAAATCAATAAATTTTATAACCTTAAGAATTCTGATGTAATTGCACGCATATTCTTGTAATATATTTAGTCAATGTTATTAAATATGCTCATTGGTAAGAATGATTCCAAATGGGGATACTTTTTGAGGATGTTTGTTTCTGTTTAAGTGCTACTCAGACCAAAATTTTTAGAAAGTTTTACATCAGCGGATAGAAAAAGAAGAATTTTGATTTACTAGACTAAGAATTTTATTTTGCTAAATCAAACATTAAAAACATTGAGAAAAGAAGAGGACTCTTTCTTTTTCTTTAAAACTTGTATTTCAAATTACTTAACAAGATTATAAAATCAATAAGAGGATGTTCCAATATTCAACAGTTTTAAGTTAAATAGATAATTATGTTTTATATATCTATATGTTTTAGATATAAGGTAGAGGCGGTATAAAAAATTAAACATAGGTTTTTTTTAAATAATGGCATACAGAAAAAATGTTTCTGTTTCTGTAACGTTAACTAGTGGTCGTATGTTGTTTTATTACCGTGCGAATATTAGTTTTGATTTTTATTACACAGACACATTTCTCATATAATGTTTTCTTTACTTAACATGAAATATAGATGATCTATGACAAAAAAACGTGTCCTTTCAATACCACCAGATATAATATATCATCATTGTCGTAATGATTTAGATTATGATCAGACTAAAATAATCTATTTTGAAATCAGTCGGTGATGTAGATACTGGAACTGTAAATATCTCACATATAAAGAAATAAAAACCGGTTAATAATTATTTGTTAATCTCAGCTGCGTTTTTTTTTTTATTTGATAATCAAAAATCCTTTTCCCTTTTCCTTCTCTTTCGTTGATGAATAAAGAATATAATGCTGTTTTTTCAAGTGGTTACATTTTTCTCCTTTTTCTCTCTTTCTCTCTTTGCAAAACTCGTTTGTAATAGGACTATACAATTACATTCTCATGGACAAGTGTTTAACTTTAGTTAGACATCATCGTGAGTATGATTTATCTACAAGATGCCAGCTGGTAGTAAATATTGCACTTTTTTCTTCTAATATAAATATCGTTAACCATAGGAAAATTTTTTCGAAATTTCACGACGTTGAAGTTGTGCAGTTGCAACATCAAATACGTGACCACGTGTGAATTTTCGATAATTTTACGCGCATTCACAAGCGAGAATTTCTTTTCACATGTGTCTATATACCATTTTACAACTTTCACTAGTGACTATGTGCGACAAATATGACGCGAAAAGTTTCCGTGAACAGTTCACGCATTGTCACAAGTAGAATATATTTTTCACGCGTGTCCACACATCATTTCACGATGTTCACATGCAATCACAGTTCATTTCACGATATTCACGGAGTGTACACGCCATTTTGTATACTCGAATTTTCCCATGAAAAGAGTCTCAAATTTTTCTAATACTTTAAATTGTTCTTTCTTTGAATGTATTACTGTTAAATTCATTTCTTACCAATTTAAAAATGGGTTGGATATCTTTAAAAAACAACAACATGATCATGAAGACAAATAATTGTCACAAAGAAAAGTACACTTATTTTAAGCAGAAGAAGAAACAGATACGAGTAGAATTCCTTAAGAATATACGTAAGGATCATATAATTGGTACTGCAATTCGTCTCGAAAGTAGAATTTTATCCTTTCGCGATTTCTCGCTAAAAAAACCTTAAATCTCAATATTTTCCTGCTAATCATGTTGATAAAGTATAATGGACTATATAATCTCTGATTTCCGGCTAATCTTTAGAGAAATCATACTTTTTGTCTCTCCGGAAGTCATCGCATTAGTCAAAAGAGGATGGAATCACCTAGAGCTATAATAAATGATTCTGTTTTTGAACTGTGCATGTACCTTTTCAATACGAAACGTTTTTCTTAATAAAAATAAAATGATAAAATATTATGTATTTTAAGAAAATATTTGATATATTTTAGAGTTTACTAACCGTTCGTTTAAGAGGAAAAAAATGTGCTCATAAATTTGTCTCCCTCTTTCTCTATCGATATTGTTGATCAATTAGATGATAAAACCATTAGACTACAAGTTGTTTTTTCTTGTTTTTATCTAAAAGTGTGTAACATATGGTTTATTTTTATTTCTATTATTTGTGTTGAAGTACGTCATCCGAAAAAGATATTATATTTTTACTTCTGTATATAAAACTAAGAACAACAACAACAACGTCAACAACATCAACAACATCATTTCACTCTCGATTAGGGTGATTGGTGTAGACAAAGAGCACGGTAGGTGAGAATCTGAATGATTGGTAAAAAACAAAATAATAATAACTCGCTGTGATGATGATCGATGCGTGATCAATAAATTAACAGAAAAAAAATCTGCCTAGCGGATCTACACTAGATGAAAACATGTTTGATTAATAAAGATATTTATATCTGTTAGAAGAAGAGAAAGTTTGCACTTGAGTAAGTGGAGATAGAGAATAAATATGTTGTAGAAGTTGTGCTTTTTTAGGCTAAAATATTAGAATAATCTTCCATGAACGTGTAACGTTGATGTATATCGATTATTAGAAGATCATCATTAACCGTGTGTTGTTCTTTTGTAGTTTACATTTCTGTTCTATCCTTAATTCTCTCACTTAATCCCTGACTATCATTTTTAGTTTTCAAACTAATGGAGTTTCTACATAAAAAGTGTTTATTAGATACAAGAGTTTTTTTCGATTAGTTTCATCTATTCCTTAATTGATACCTGTCTACTAACAGTATAGTTAATTTGCGTAATTTCTTAGAAATTCTTGTCTCTGTCATTATCTTGCAACTTGTCTATTAAACATCATTTTCTAAACTCTTTTTTCATTGAATGATTAGTGCGACTATCTTCTTTTTTTTTTTTTTCTTCAGTTAAACTGGGAAAAGTATATGGAAACATTCCATTATCGCCTTCTTGTCATTTACTATATTGAATACTGCCACACACAATAGTTTTTGTGTAAATCAGAAAAATAATCAATTCTGTCAACTTATTTCTATCTAATCATATGTCATTCCTTGTTTTGTCATCAACAAACAAATGTGACTTTTTTGACAAGGAAATACATTTTCTACTTTCACTTCTATGACTAGTGTACAAACAAAAAAAAGCTGTTTCAATCTGTATATAAATTTGAGAAATGTATAATTATTAGATGCACGTTTATAAAGTTGTCACTCTATTGTATATATATCACACAAAAAAAAAAAATATATATGATAGTAACGGAAGTCATCATATTTTAATTAGTAAATCACGCACAGGAAGTTAGATCAGAGGAAAAACAACGTTTATATTAAACAAACTTTTTTTTTCTAAGAAAATTTTCATTTTCAAGTACAAATTATGATAAATAGGAGGTGTTCAACATATTACTAGTTCAATAGATAACAATATAAAAATCTATTTATTGATCAAAAATAATATTAAATTAAAAATTGATAATTATGCATTAAAATAAAAATAAATAGTAAATTATGAATAGAGAGACTTACACAGTGATATTTAAAAATGAGATGTGAGAAGAATAATGAATAAATTTTTTTTAACTTTATTTCAGTATGATTTAGACGAGAGTTAAGTTAGCTACATCCGCATACAGTTATATAGTATATAGTCTCTTGGGAAAAAAAATAGTCACTTACTCGAGTTTAGATGAACATCCTGTTTGATAAACAAATCTTTTAAGAGCATTTTTATCTTACTTCCTTTCAGAAAATCTCTTTTTAATGATTTTTTCTTCTGTTACTGTTGTTATTGAAAAAAAAACAAAAAAAAAACCCCCAAAAAAATCAATGAATATTCAACAACTTTTTCTAACGGGTTATTCTAGCCTTTGTATTCAAATGCCGAAATAGTGTCAAAACAGACACTACAGTAGAATATGATTGATAATCCATCTCTCTCACTTGTGATTTATATGTCAATAATCGAAGAAAGAGAGAAAGAGGGAGAATGTCAAGTCCAAAAGAGATTTACTATCATTTTTTATTTTTTATTTTTTATTTTAGTTTGTGTGTTTTTTTTCCACAGTCATTTAATATATTAAGAAAAAAATGATTATAGTTCTCTCTTCTCTGATGTATAAATATTTTGCTTGTTTACTCTATGAAGCAGAAAATAAATTTGTCGGCAAAAGCATCTTAATAATAACTGTATTAATATTATTATTATTAGTAGTAATAGTGGTAGTCGATGAGATGATAATCTTTCTATTTATATATTCCTGACCTTGTCATCGTAGACAAGAAAGAAAATAAAAAAATAAAAATCATCTACAACATGTCTTTTATAGAGAGACAGAGAAAGAGAGAGAGAAAGAGAGAGAGAGAGAGAGAGAGAGAGAGAGAGAGAGAGAGAGAGAGAGAAAGTTCTTATTATTATTATTATTTATGACGACCGATGTTTTTTTATAATACATAAAGTGGCATTATCTCTAAAACTTTTCAGAGAGAAGAATAGAAAAATGGATAGCTATAAGAGATAAATTAGTGATATACACACAATTTATTCAAAGCAAAGAGGGAACGAGAGAAAAAAGAATAGAGTGCATTATAGATTTAAAAGTGTTTTAAAAATGGAACATTTGTATATTTAAAATGATATAAATTACCATCATGTCTTATGAAAACAAGTTTACTTTTAGTAAGTAATTTTTTTGAAAATATTTATAAAAATATTTGAAATTATTGTGTAATATTAGAAAAATTGATTTTTATAAACGTCTACACTCTTTGACATAAATCAATGTTAATGGAATTTATTTTTGATTTGTTATGTATTGCTCATTCTACCTTTATTTTTTGTGATTATACTAATCGACTTTCTTCAAAGAAAAGCGAAAAATATTATTTCTATTAAACTTGATCGAACGATCTATAAAACAACGTTTTTTTTTCAAGCGTCAATAATTAAATATTCTCAAATATATAATGAATCATCTTGCCTATTTCAATACTATATTTTTGTTCTATTAATTTTCCTCATCATAATACGATCGAGATAAAACAAATTCTTCAAAAATAAAACAAAACAAAAAAAAAAGAAAAAAAGAAGTAACATAGTTTTGATTTTAGATTCATTTTACAGTTTAACTTTATTTTTATCATTGTGAACGACAAGAATGTTTAAGTGTGAGAAAATTTATTTTTAGAAATAACCGTCTTATTATAGTAAAATTTTTTGAATTTTTAAAACTAACACATTTGTATCAAATATTTATATTCTTTTTATTTTTTTTATCTTTCATACTTCTAAATGTATTCTAAGATGACAATTTCAAGTACTTGTAATAAAGAAGAATAAAATCTAATGTTTTTGTTCTTCTTTTTCAATGCAACAGTTTGAGTTTATTGTTAGTCATACATTTTTTATATTTATTCTTGAATACAAAACAAATTTTATTTTCTAATTTATTGTATATAAGCCTCACTAACTTTTTATAAATTAGATAAAATGGTAAAAGCATGTATAAAACGACATCATTGTATTGTGTGACCCTATTATTCTATAAGAATATAATCATTCTTTTGAAATATTAGTAGTTTAAGTTTTGAAAATTTTTATTAGTCGAGGAGGACAGAGTCAATTTAGAATAAACAACAAATTATCTATTTTTATTTTTGTATATGACAAGCGATGAGATATATCTAAAGTTATCAAACTTACACCTTAAAAGTAACGAATGATTAGAAATAAAAGAGAAAAAAAATGATATTAACTGTAATTGTCACTTTTGAATAAAAAAAAATAATGTCCATTTAATCATCAATTAATTGGGTGTGGCTAATAACGTTAGTTTTTACTATTATTTTATTTTTATTTCTTGTTTCTAGACTCTAATTATAATCGTCGTATGCCCAGTTTACCTTTAAAATTAAATCGTAATTCTACAACAACACCAATTACAAAGATGCCTGGATCCACGTCATTACAAGACATACGAACACAAAAATATTGGGCTAAAGAAGAACGATTAATTAGACTACCAGAGTAAGTATTGTCTTTTTATCTAAGAATGACGAGATTCTAGATTTTCTCATTTTGAAAAAAAGTTTTAAATTCTCTTCTCTGAACAAGTAAAAGATGATGCATAATGCACACATCGTATCATAGTGATACTATTTTTTATTTAAACCACACTCTCTAAAAAGAATTCGTAGCTTATAAAACGAATATCGATTTTGGCATTTGCTCCTAATAAAAACTGATATTCGTATTGTACAGTCCTGCTTAACCGTTTCGCAAAATATCGTTGAACAATTTTTGTCTTTTGAAGAAAGGGCTTTAGATTTTATATCAGGGAAAAAGCGTTCAAGCGTATTCTGTGAAACGGTGAAGTGGGATTGTACGATACGGATATCGATTTCTATTAGGAGCAAATGCCAAAATCAATATTCGTTTTGTAAGCTACAGACTTTTTTAGAAATTAGCCATCGAAAAATCATATTCTCATAATTCCTCTAAATCTTTTTTTCTTTCTACACGGCTTGTTCCTGTCAAAGTGCACCTTTTAATTAGGTCAATCACATTTTATAAAAGTCATAGCTGTTTACTCAAGTAACCTATGAAGTTAGAGAGTATATCTTTTTTTATAGCTTGAATATTAACAATCGAATAAATTGTAACAGCAAACTCTTTCAAAAGACAAGATGTTTCTGATAAAAAGGGCATTCTAATGAACAAAAAAGTACTTTGTTTCTGAGAACCATAGATCTCTATGTGTTTTATTACTAGGTTTTGCTTGATTGCTTTTTTAAAGAAAACTATTTAATCTTTAAGACGAGACGCTCTCAACTATGTAGATTAATTGATTGAGTGAACACCTATAACTTTAACAAAAATTGACTGGCTTTTGTCGACTGACAGGCTGTATACATACAAACCTCATAAACTATATAGTTTTTCGTCAACTAGAACCTTCCACATTGTTTTAATTTTTATGTAAATGCGAATATATGCCGCGCACGAAAAAAGGCTTGTATTTAGCTTGCAGCTAGATTTTTAACCCATTTAACTAGTGTGCTGAATGGGTCATAAATCTGTCTACTAACTAGATGCAAGATTTTTTTTTTTCATGTTTGAGTAATTTAATTGTGTTAAAAAAATTTGAGAAATATATGACTACAAAAGGGCGTTTGGATTTTTTTCTGATTTTTATGTTTTGGATCTGGTATTTCTGTACCTAAGATGCATTTCAACAACTATAGTATTATTTAATTTCTTTAGAAGTTATTTACCTATTCGTGATCCACTATCACCTGACAATCTTGTATTCGAACATCCTGAACTAACCGTAAAAGTCTCTGCACTCGATGATGAATTGCAACGTCGTATGCAACAACAACAGAGTCGAACAGGCTCAGTGCCAAATCTTATCGAACATCCTGATATTCGTCAACCACTACAACTTCAACCTGTTTTACCGTCAACATCAAAGATAACTCGACAAATGTCAGCCGATGTTAACGTTCAACGATCACCTTCGCCAGCTTCATCTATTACATCTCCAATTCATGAAAGACATTATTCTGCACCTAGTAAAAAACAAGATGACCAACTAAGTTTATCGTTAGATCAACATTGGTTCCAACAACAGCAATGTAAGAAAAGTTAAAACGCAGCAGAAATGACTACATTTACACCATTCGTTTTCTTTTTCTCAATTTTAGTGATTCCAAATAACAATCGAGCTATTTCTCTACGTTCTAACATCACAGATATTTTGGAAAAACCAGAACACGATAAAGTCTGTATTCAATTTTCAGAGTTGAATAAACTCATAGTGATAAATGTTTGCTTCGTATTTAACTGATGATAATTTTTCTTTTTGTAGAATGATATTAATCCGTCCACAACGAATCGTGACGATCAACATCAACGTCATGTTGAAATAATTCGTGAATATTCAGACACATCAACCGTTTCAGATGATCAAACGAATCGGAATAAGCCTAAAGCAACGGCAACCACCGTTCAAAAATCTGCAACAAATGGAAAATCACCATCGGACGATGATTTTTGGTAGTAAAACTCGTTAAACACTTTTAAAAAGTGCTGTCATATCTTTATTGTATATTTGATAGTTGCTTTTCTATAATTTTTCTCTCAATTAAATCGAGTTTAGTGTTGTTCTGTACGTTCTGTATGTTTTGTAAATAATTCATACAAGAGAAATTCGAAGTTATTTGTTTGTATATGTTGGTTTCTCTGTTATAGAAAAATTTTTGATTTGTTTTTTAATAACAAAAAATTATTGAGCGGCTTTTGTGACAGGTTGTTTTTTAAATAAAGTATTTTCGAAGAAAATTATTTCGCTTTAATTTTTGTAATATGTCAAGAAAACAGTATGTGAGATATGATTAGACTGTAAAGTGCTTTTATAGTTTTAGAGACTAGTATAGGGCTTCTTCTTCTTGTATATTAACTGGAATTAGTTGAGTATAATTGAACAGTCTTCTTGTATAAGTTACCACTTAGATTATTTTTTTTATGTCAGTTAAATACGATTAATGGTAGATATCAATGAAATTTTTCAATGTTTTCGAACCATATCTGATAAATTTTTCTAGCTACGTCTCACAAAACGCGACATCATTTTATAAACTGATTTAACTTTTATCGGAAGAGTATTCATTCTTAGTGTTAAAATCTGCCTTTCTTCCATAAACAGGCGCTTCTGTCGAGTTAGAAGATACGTACAGTTAGTATGAAGTTAGTTTTAAGTAGATCAGAGCATTTTGTCCATTTCGAAATATAAAAACTGAAACGACTAGGATACGGTTGGCTGAGTAATCAAAATCAGATTCTAGAACAGACACATTTATTACTACGTCGAATAAGTTGAAGAAAAAAAACACACAAATGAATACAACAGAAACAAAAAAAAATGGAATAACGGACTGAGATCAGAGCACCGGTTCGTCTTTCATTCTCGTCGATATTTTAGCTAAACTATCTGTTTAATGATCGTGGTGTATTTGTCCAACCTATACTAGGACTTGGACTGTATTTATCGGCGCTATGATGAAAAAATAACGGATTAGCCACACCTATTCGTGATGGAGCTAAACGATCGATACGCTGAGTTTGAGCAAGATGACGGTGATTATCAAAACGAAGGTCAGAACGAAAAAACAGACTGGAAGATGGACGAATTGTTAAACCATACCTAAAATAAGAGCGAATATCATTAAGATAAATATAATAGAGGACGAATAATGTAAATGTACCACAGAAACCATATGATAATAAATACAAGCATGAGTGAAAACACATAACCGAATACAATTGCTAAAGGCCACAAATCAGTTGTATCATCATGTGAAGAATCTCGAACTGATATCGATGCATCTAAACTGACATAATGGAATAAAGATGATTAAGTATAATATCAAAATTAGTGATAGTAATCAAATTTGATTGTTTTGATCAGTTCCGCTGTTTGAAGGTCACGATTTGTTGATATTTTTATTAAACTGAATGTCAAAATAATTCTCATGATATTTTTTCATTTAAGACAGAGTCAACAACAGCAGCAAGAAAGTAGATAATATGACTAAAAAAAAATATTTCTCGATTTAAGCGTGTTCATTGAATTCTTTAATTGAATACCTTAGTCAAACGGACTATACAAAATATTTTATTTTTATGTATTTTCAAAAAAAAATTAAAAAATTTTAAAATCTTCGATCATTTCATATTAAAATTCTTAATACAAAGTTCGATTCAAACTATTAAAATTTGTCCAGTGTATTCGGTAGACAAAACAGATTTTGAACTATTATTAATTCAAAGAGAATCACAGCAAAGTCTTCAAACATGAGAGTTATCAAACTAAAATTTTCAAAACAATTCGAACCATTGTCATAGTTCGAAAAACATTCAAATAGTTGAATTCTAACAAACCACATGTTTAGTTGAAATGAAAAAACTTTTTCTATGTGTAAAACTTTATCATCTCTTCTATCTGAGTTTAGTTAGTACGTACTGACAATAAACGCATCATTATCGAAGTTAATGCACTCTAACATATTTTCTTATTCATACGTACACTTGTTTTTGAACAAGAAAAGACAAATGATCATTAACTGAGTAAGTTCATACAACATGTGAACAATTGAACGATCTAGACGGGAACTCCAAGAATGCAAATTGAAATGAGTGCAAAAATTCTGTCAATTTAGAAAGTAAAACATCTAAGTATGTTAGATATACAGTTAATAATTAAACGACGTAAATAAAAAGAGATAGTCGGATTGTATGAGAGTGAACAATTCGAAAAACAGATTTCAGCTGAAAGCCAATAAATCAACACGTTAAGTCAGTTATCAAATTCTCATCAAATTCAGCTATATGATTGATTATTTAGACATGATAGAAGAATTTTAGCTATATTATTTACTACAGACAGACACTCTGTGATTACCTGAGGAATCTTGTGATTCAATTTCACATCTAATACCAAGTCTATTTTTATCACAAGAGCACGTATAGTTGTGAATGGCTGATGAACATGTACCATTGTAGAGACAAGGATTGGAGACACAAGGATCCATACAAAGTTTATCATTCGATTCTAAAATAATAAATAAAGTTATTTTGAACTAAAAACATTATTCTTAGCGGTGTCTTACTAGAGCAATTTTGTCCCATGTTTACTTCTTTAGTAGGTTTAATCAATTCACAGTTAACACCGGTAAACGATTGTTTACAAATACATTCTTCTTCATTATGCTCATTTGTCTAAAAAAATATTTTTATAATAATTAGATTTATCAATATTTTGAAAATAATAGACTCACTAAACATAATCCTCCATTTTGACATTGTCTTTTACATTTGAATGCAGATACAGGCAGTTGAGATAGAGCTATAATTAATAAAATTAATAATAAAAATATATAATTAATGTAGACCCTATATTACCTAGTTGTTCACAAAATTTTCCACTAAATACTGGTGGACATAAACATTGTATTTCATTATTTGCCTTTGTGACACAGACACCATTATTGCTACATGGGTTACTTTCACACAAATTTTGTTCTATTAAAATAAATATTATCTTAGTATCATACCACTGATAGAATAACAAATTTACTGATACTAACATTTAAAACTCAAGATATAAAATAAATACTTTGAGCATGCGAGACATGCGTAATATCCGTTATTGTATTCCTAATGGTTTTCTTGCTACATGCACATGCTCAACTTACGCAAATTCGAAACACTCAATATTTCTAAACAGAGTATTTTTTACTTTAGAAACATCAACGATAATAGGGAATAGTTGACAATTAACATTTGTCTGACGATGATTTAGCGCGATTATACTCAATAAAATAGTAATTACGTACGTATTTCACAATACACTCCAATATAACCATTTTGACATACACAATGGAAATTTTGTTGAGATAAAATGACACATGTTGAATTATGAAGACATGGTGCACTCAAACATGGTGTATGTTCTAAAAAATATTATAATTTTGGGTGATAAAATATTAAATCTAATTATATATTAAATTGACTTACTATATGGATTAAACGCTGTTGTTGTATATTGATGTTCTACAATTATTGACGTTTTTGGAAAGAGAATTTGTGCTGATAATTGATCACCATATTGTTCGTTTAACCAGTCGAGATATTCTTTTACATCATCACTCTTATTAAATTTAATTGACGTTGTTGGACGATGACGATTCCATTGAGGAAAAAATGTACTCGGAATATGAGTTGTTTTAAGTGTAGTTGAACGAACGGATATGCGTTTTGCACTAAGATTTATTGGTACTAATGTATTTGTGATAACTGAACGACGTTTCTCTGTAGTTGCTAAAAATATATTGAGAATTTTCAGATTTATACTCTATTTATACGTTACTAATAAAGCACAGCAAACAGATTATATTAATCTTCAGAAACAAAAATCATTTTGTTTCTCTCGCATTAATGATATATATCTTATTAAAATATAATCTAGATAAGATCTCTCGCATATATATCTTAAAAAATATCTTGTAATTGATACTTTGTCTTCAGTATATGAGTGTAGATAAATGTTTTAAAGCAGAACTTCTTAATTGAGATCACTTTTTATAAAATAAAATAATCTCAGTTTTGAAAAACAATTTTTTGTAGCTCTTATTTTAATAAAACAGGAATTCTTAAACTAGATATGTACATGACGTCATTTTGACTCTTTGGCCTAGTCACATTTCTACGAACATAATAAAGTTGTACATAATACATAGAGTGAGATGAAAGTCTAAAACACTGTATTTTAATGTCTATATTGAATAAAAGCTTCTTTTATACTAAAAATCAAAGGGTTAATGATGGGTGAAAAAGTTATCTTTATACTCTAAGACGTTCAAAAACGTTATATTAAGGGGTCAGAAGAGTTTGTAATGATACGAACAATGTCATCAAAGAATTACACGAAAAGGCAAGATCAACACATAATTGATGTATTGGTTTCTACCAAACAAAACTATAAGAGTATATTGATCTAGAAGAATTACAAAAAAAAAAAGTGTTTCAGAATACAAAAGACAACGGTGAATATGAACCAAAACAATGAGGACGGCAAAGTTTATTATTTTTTTTGAATTTTCATTTTGATAAAATATAAATATTGCAGACCTGTTACTTGTATTCAGAAAATAAGTGACCTATTGACTAGAGATTAAAATAGAAACTACAAAAAAATCGTTTTTCAAATTGAGATCATTTTTTTTGTTCTTAATTATAAATAGTAATCTCAATTAAGAATGAGCCATTTTAAAGATGTGAAATATACTTACCTATATATGGTTTTGTGCAATCAATTCCAGACCAATAAGGTTGACAAATACAAATTTCATTATATAACCCAACTTTTACACATTGACCATTTACGCATGGAATTCTCTCACATGTTGTTAAAATTTCTAAAAATACATGTAAATATATTGTTTTTATCTTTGAATATGATTAGAATAATTACTTACCAACTTCACAATGTTTTCCCGTATGTGTAGGACGACAATGACACTGATACGATTTATTTTTATTATCTAAACTTTCACACGTTGAATTATGTAAACAAGGATTGTTATAACAACCTCCAATATAATCTAAAATCCATGTATATATTGACTTTTATTTAATCAATATTTTAATTTTATTTACCTGATATAGATTGATTACAATTTGGTGAAGTCCATCCTTCTTCACAGATACATTTATTATTTTTACTACATCGACCATGGATACAAGAAGACGAATTACAACCAGTAGTTTGCACTAAAATTCGTTCAAAAAAAAAATATTGAATCTAAATTTAATTGTAATATGAATTCATTTTATTTAGTTTACCTTTAATTTCACATGATCTTCCTGTAAAACCGTCCGAACATTGACACACATAATCACGTAAATATACTACACACGTGCCATTATGCAAACATGGATTATTTTCACACGCTTGAAGATCTAAAATAAAGTATTTTTTTTGTTTTTTTTTTGATATACACTTGTTATATATGGTTAACATTCATTACTGTTCGATCAATTACTTACCACTTAAACAATCTTGTCCAAAATATCCTTTGTTACATAATTTTTTTCCTAATTGTAAATCACAAGTATATCGATCATTTCCAATACAATACGTATTACAATCGTGTCCATAATAATTTTCAGAACAATATAGCTAAAATTTAACAGTTTTATAACAAAAATTTGTTAAATAGTTATATAAATCTAATAAAATAACGTACTGAAAAGTCTACAGTTAAGTTAGTATAACTACCAAATAAACTTCTCAATACAATATGTTGTAATTGAGCTGTCTGTTTTGACGTGGATAATCTAATATCTAATAATGTTCGTCCATAAAAATCAATTGAATCATGAAACATTTGATTTTGTAAATCATCAACATCAAACACTTCCACAATGAGACCAATACCATTCTAAAATTATAAAAGATCAATATCTCTTAAAATTGATTATAATTTTAATCGAACTATTCATTGATACTACAATTTTATTACTCATTCACCTTGGGATATTTAAATTTAAAATATATTGTGGGTAAAAACCATAGTGATGTAGTATGTGATCGTTGTTGCATGTATGGTCGAATGTGTGTATCATTATCATCAATGTTAATAAAATGAATATCATCTGCTCCGACAAATCCTGTAAAATAATCACCTAATGTACAATTATGCGGATTTTGAAATGGAAGTTCGACAAGACAAAATAAAAATGCAGTATCACATCGTCCATCACGATTCACATCATGTTGAATTTTAATATCGCATGGACGATTTTCATACGTTTGGCCATGACGATTTTTATAATGAATTAAACGCAATCCGAGTGTCACTTCGCCTTGAGAAAACTAAAATAATTGTAAATTATGAATTTATCGAATTTTTTTTTGTTTTTATAAAATTTATTACGATTGTTTTTGAGATATTAGAAACAAACCTTTATTGTAATAGAGTATAATAGCAGCCAATACAAAGGAACAATAGCCAAATTGAACATTTCACAAGCGGCATTCGTAACAATTTCGATAGTTCAATTATTTTTATAATAATTTAGAAACAATAGTGAAAATTTCTGATAAACCATTTTTTTATAAACACGTACGTGTGACATATATGTCTCTCTTTACAGTTACTAACTATCTTATTGTTAGAATATATGTGACAAATATTGTTGAATTTCCTCGATAGAGAGACTGAAGATGATAGATATAAAAAGAAAAAAAAAAGATAGAGATGTAAGTATTATTCTAAGACAACACCCTACTTTTTTTCCCAATTATAATACACACATTCAATGTTTGTATATTTACCTTCAAGCTTACTAACAGCTTCATTAAAATCATACAGATGTGTCATTGAATGAGACTTTTTCTATACACATTAGATCAAGACATATTAAGAGAACATTTAGCGTTCTTCTTGAACAGACATAAAGACAGCAAAAATGTCTCATATTTACTGAAGACACAGTTTATCATAAAACTACTCTTTGTTTCTGCTGCTTACTTGTACACATATACACACGCACATACTGTATAACTCTATCAATGAAAATAATTATTAACTTCGTTTTTAAAAACTGATTTTTCTTTTGATCTTTTTCTAATGAGCCGGTTCAAATCATCTTTGATCAGAGAATAATGAGAAGATTAACTCGTGGTGTCTGAACGGTATAATCAGATGACGGTTGTTGTCATTATGATATTTGAGAAAAAATTAAATAAAAGTCAGTCATTTTTTATTTATTTGCCAGATAACTGTGACCCGTAGGGTCCTTACAGTACAAGAGCAAGTTTTACATAATTAGATAAATCTTACTAATATTGAGGACAACAATTCACATTAAAATAAAAGACAACAATAGTAATATCAGGGAGAAAGAGAAGTCAATCACACAGGCGTACCACAAAAAGAACAAAATAATACATAAAAGGTTTATTTAGAGAAAAAATAAAACATATATTACGCATACAAAATACAGATTAAAAGGATTCAGGAAATTCGCACAACCGATCGATATCATTTATGTCAAGCACGGGTATAGTGTCAGTTAAGGTATTATCTGTAGTCCACAAAAAGCATTTTTCTAACGTACTTAGATGCTCGACAAAGCGTTTAGAACGATATAACCCACGTATCCGATTCTCTCCATTAAGCCACAGCGATCTATACACATTTAAGTTTGTTTGTTCTAAGAGAAGAAAAC